TGTCCTTTTGTTTTATCTTTGATACATCATTCACTTTACGGACAACAGTCCCGCCGCTGTCCTTTTCTCCTGATGATTTATACATCAATCATTTAAATTCTGGAGATTCCTCTGTAGTTATTCGAATATTATACATCTTAAGCCCTGTAGTTGGTTGTCAGCGAGTTTCTAGCCAACACGTGACACCTGGTCGCGTACCGCAGCATTCAAGTTAGATAATGTAGTATACCTTGCCCAGCCGCTTGCACGGCGTGCTTCATAAAAGCACGCGCTTGTTCTATTCATAAACAAATGTTAACCCATTTGGACTTTTACCTGTCAGTCTTTTTTTCCACTCGCCACAGATACTTGTTTTTGTCTGGACTTTGGGTCACGCTTAAAGCTCGAACGAGACCTATTTTATGCGAAGCAAAAGAGTCCGTAAATATGAATCTGCTTTGAAGTTCACATATTTTGACCGAACTTACGAGCGTTTGTCGGAGGGATACTTGCGGTTTGACCTATGCCACGCGTTTTCAAATTTTTTCAAGGAAAAACTACGATCTTACATGAATTCAAACTCCACTTACCTCAGAATGTTCTTCAAACAAACTCACCACGGTGCCTGGTACTTGGTCCGAATTCGTCACTCAGATCATTCGACAAAAATAAGACCACACAATTTCAAATACATTTTTAAAGTTCAGTTCACTTTTTTTGCTATGGGCCATAAGTTCAGTTTCTTACAAGCTGACAAATATCCAGCTCTGTCCATTCTGAAGTCAAAGTTCAAATCCATCGAGGGATGTCTTAGGCCGGGCACCGGCATGTCCGCAGGGTCAGGCCACTGCAGTGTATGCATGGTGCATTTGGCCGAAGCTTCCGTGGACTTCTTCGTCCAACCACAGCCCAATTTCTCCCATGTTGTCGAAAATCAGTAAAGTCTCAGTCCACATTTTTGCCTGATGTTAAGGGCAGTATTTTAGCTTCCAAACTCAAAGGATAAATTTCACCAATGGAGGGAAAAATTCGGCAGAGTAGATGACACATTTCTCCTCTCCTCTTGAAATCCGAAGGCACACTAAAATAAAATGTAAATGTGAAAAGTCGCTGTCTCTGTTTCTCACTACGCGAGACGGAGCACTATTAGATATTGCTCCGCACCAAAATGTTTTAAAACATTCTAGTTTTCATTTTTTTTAAACAGGTGAGCTACGATTTCGATTAATTTATGATGTTTTCCATTTCCATTAAAAAGTAGACCTTGAAGTGATTTGGGGGTCCTTTTAAAGCCCTATTTTCGAGGTGTTCAGTGAAAAATTGTGTGACGTAACGTAATTCCGTTTGTTAATTGGTCAGAGAGGCTTGATACGACTTCGGCGCGTCAATCCAGCCAATTTGATTCGACAAACCGAATGTTTGGAGACGGCATGGAAGATTTTTTTGGGGGGGGGAGAAGAAAACACTCCCTTTTCAATCGCACCAATATTTGTGCGTAAATGAAATACCTACAAATGGCTGTTGAGGATCAATACTTTTGTTTGCTGCAGCTTCAAGGTAACTGTACCGTGGTTTGGTGCCATGTAAAATAGTAAACGAAGTAAATAACATGTCATGTGTTCTCGGTGGGTACAGTGCGTGGGTTTGAAAATAATTGTGGAAGAAATGCATTTGCAATAGAAGTATCTGCCACTGTTTAATATGCAAATATAAGAATTAGAAGATTTTTCTGAAAAACGATCTATGTTTGGACACAGAACCACGTAACCTGAACTTTGGGAACAACTGAAAGAGCAAAATATGTGAATATAACTACACTACCGATTGAAATTGCCCCAAACTAATATGACTAACTAAATTTTTAAAGAAGATTATGCCAAGTATTATACAATGGGTGATGACGTCATGAAATAAGAGGGTGTTTTCCCGGCACTGGCACATCAAAGACAGTTGATTTTAGAAATTAAAAGTGCGTTTTTCTGCATATTCTAAAAGATGGCAGAAATAATGGGTGAATAATTATTTTATAAAGTTTGAAAATGGGGACTTCATTATTCTGGATGCTGTTCAGAAATTTTGAGATGACTATTATAAACTCTCTTTATTATAAGTCTTCATTTAATACAGCCTACTTTAGAGGTGTTATCTTGCACACAAAAAATGAACCAATAAGATCATTCGATGATAGCTATCAACGTTCTGTGACGTCACCAAGCCGAAAGTTATATTGCCCAAGCTCCTAATATTTTTCACGGCGATGCTAATTAGTTTAGAACCGAAGTTTAGTTTGACATGACTTTTGTACTCTCTTTTTCTTTTTGGACCATATCACCTCCTTGCACGTAATTAGAGTATCTTTGAATATTGAAGACATGATGCTTCATAAACAGACATAAAGACTGTCTGTATAAGCCTTTTTCAGTGGTCAAAGACAGCAAGTTTTGTACCACGTGACGTCGCTCTATAGCCCCTCTCCAGACTGCTTTAAACAAGCGTTTCAAGCAGTCCATTTCCGACAGCCAGGTCAGGGCGCGCGGCGGCACAGGGATAGTCACTTGTCTGTTGGATTTTCCGAAATATTTATTCTTGCAGGCCTTTCTATAGCGAACGGTACAATTTATAAATTTGCTTCATTGTGATGTTCTCCAAACAAAATGGCAAAAAATTACTTAAACCCACAAGGCAAATCAAATAAACGTTAAATTCCCAAACTTTGGTCAACACAGCTCATCAGTACGTCAAAAGCCCAAGACTCAGCTTCCATGGCCAATCTACCGAACAATACCGAACACTGAACCCGATCAACGCTCACTCATATCATAGCTATCAACCAGTTTCAAAGACGGAGGGGAATCACATACCTTATGCGTTACAACCCCTCACACGAAAGCCATGTCAACCGTAATCCTCAGGGTCCCCCAAAATAATACCCAGTGTCACACGAGTGAACTATTTGCAGACAAACAAAATGAAACTAGCGCAGACTGAGAAATTCCCTCAAAACACCTCCAAAGCAGAATTCCCAGCGACAAACTCAAAAACAATCTGCAAATTATCATCAAACCCCATAACAAAGACTGCGACATACGTATTATAGACCGCGAGGACTATACCTAGGAGTTGGCTTCTAACACCTCGACTCTGGAAAAATTGGAAAGGGAAAGATTCCAACAAAAATGCATTATCAACCTGCACAAACATCCAACAGGATGACACGATTTACGCAGTCTTCTAACGAGGTACGTATCGTAAGTCCGACACCTCAAAAGTCTGAATTTTCGGACTTACGAGGCCTCTGACTAATGAGGCGCCGAATTTGTGGGCATTTTTTGTTTTTGGCTTCATAGTTCTGACACCTCAAAGGTCCAACGCCCAATTAATCTGACGTCAGACCAACGAGGTTTCAGACTTTCGAGGCATCGGTCGGATCTTGAGGCGTCGGCTTGGGGACTTTTAAAACGCATTTTTCGCACTTACGAGGCGTCGGACTTACGATTTGAACCCAACTCAATGAATCACTTATAAAAAGAATGAAGAAACACCCTTCCGCATACATCTAAATCTGCAGAGAATTCTCCTCCGATTCGGCGGGAAATATTTCTGCCACAAATTGAGTGTAAATAAGCCTTTTGTGAGTTAACTTTGACCCAAATCTGGTACACTGAGTTCTTCAAATTCACGTGAAAATAACACCTTGAATTGTCCTTACTAAAACCACTGTTGCCATACCTCGTGATTCGGGGCAAGCTTCTGCTTAGTTACATAAGAGACGCCTTGCAACAATGCACTGTTCTCAATGGATAGGAATGGCACAAAGGACATATGCAGCAAGGTATGAGACGGAGAGAACCCCCCCCTGCTTTGTGTTGGTCATTGTTTCGCAGGAATCTGGGGAATTACTTTCAGACATCTTGGGGGGGGGATGTGTTAAGTAACAATAGTCTGGAATGTGTATAGGGATTGGACATGTTGGGGGTGCCCCTCGGTCTCATTTCTTGCTAGCTGGGTATAACAAAGGAACCAGTCCATTCCAGAGATGGTGGTCGCTATGCAAATCTTGCCCCGAATCACGAGGTATAGCAACAGTGTCTTTAGTTTGGGGAATTCAAATTGTTACGTTTCTATGCAATCAGATAACATAGTGTACCAGATTTTATTCAAATTTAACTCGCAAATATACCCAGCAAGAAATGAGACCGAGGGGTACCCCCCAACATGTCCAATCCCTATACACATTCAAGACTATTTTTACTCAACACACACCCCCCCAAGATGTCTGAAAGGAATTCCCCAGATTCCTGCGAGACAATGACCAACACAAAGCACGGGGGGGTTTTCCGTCTCATACCTTGCTGCAGATACTCGCAAGTGGCTAAATTTCAAGGCAGTGGTGCTCAGTGATCCGTAACGGTAAAATCACAAACAAGGCATCATTTTGTTCTCTACTTTGAGATGATACCAAGTGTTCGGCTAGAAGGTGTGTAGTTTTGCCACAGTGGCCACTTAAAGTTGGGTTTCCTTTTTTTAATACGCCGTGTATAGGCCCCTTTGTATACACCTCCTCAGCTTCGAAGCGTCTCTGGGACTAACCACACAAGGCACTTAAGAACACAGTGGCTAATGGGATTAGACCTACTGAGTAGGCTACCATCGATCGCTGCAAGGGCATATCTGCGTTTTGCGTTTGATTCCCAACCCCTTGGCCAGTCCATCAACATGTAACAGAAAATAATTACACTATTGGAACAACATTTTCAATGAGCAGAGTAGCGAATTCTGTGGGGGGGGATAATCTCTTTCACACACCCTGCCTTATTCATTTTTATTTAACAAAAAAAAAATAATTATCATCATGATTTGAAGGTAGCTAACGTCAGAAGGTTGGAAGACCCCAAAATTCCATAAAGTATGACGGGGTCTTATTTTGCATGTATGGCTAAGGACAAAAAAGCAAAGAGATTAAATGGCTTTACAAATGACGACAAATACATTTAGTAACACCCCCATCCCCACCCGCCGCGAACAAAAATGATGTCCCTGGCAAACTCGAGCTCTGCAAGTTATGCCTGTTATTATAAAAATAGCTCGCATAAACGAACGCTACACTCACTAAACTTGTGTAAGTCTAATTTCTATCACGAAATGCACACTGCCCTCGTGTGGCATAATTGTCGGATCTTTTTAGGTGAAATATAGTCAGGGCAAATAGCCACCGGCAAATAGTCAGTACACCTGTAGTTTTCCTAACTGGAGAGTATGCTTAGATAAACAGGGTACAGAACCCCATTATGTCAAGAAAAGAACGGTGTCATATTTTGGACATTTTTGGTCACCTTTCCTCAATATCCTCGTCGTTGGGCCCCATTTTGCCAAAGGGGCTTTATTATAGAACTATAAAACACAACATAGTTTTACAAAACACAATTGTCACTTTTTCCCAATTTCTGAAAAGGGAAAAATAGCCGGGGGAGGGGCAAGCACCAGATTTTATGCTATCACGCGGGGGGTCGGTTGTCAAGCTGACCCCTCAATACACAAAAGTCAGCCCCTCCCATTTTCGTAAGTCGTTCATAATCTGATCATTTGAGAAATCAAAAAATTGTTAAAGCCTATCCTCCATTCCCCCCTTTTAGCAATCACCTTGTCTTCATTCAATAATCTTTTTCATTCATTCCAATTCTCAATAAATTCTGTCGCCAAGCGACTTCCATCGAACTCCTTTTCTGCATAATTACTGGCTTGTAATCTTGAGTCTCTGCAATGACCACTCATGCACATCCTTGTGAATGACCACTTTACACCATAACACCAAAGACATTCTGCTGGTATGTCTTCGGTCTCTTTCTGCACCAAGAGCATTTTTATTGTGTTTACCATCAAAGTCACCACAAAAACTGTCCAAACCACAGAAGTGTCGCTAGCCTTTGCTTTGAATTCTTAAAGTACACACAAGTCATTCAACAGAATCATTCTTTAGAGTCCACTACTGCAAATGTAATAGCATTGTCACTACTTTAATTAAAAGTAAATTTGTTCAAGTCACAACTCGAGCCACAGAAGCAAGACAACAAATCAACACCATGAAGCATTTATACAAACTTTGACACACTAATTCCTACTGCTCAAACTTGTATTGCAAAGAGCATTTTGTTATACAAACAAAATCATATTAATAGGTGATTCAATAATCCCAAAGTGTAATACCCAGCCGCAAGTTTCAGTGAGCTTGCTCCCAGGCTGTGTAAAATAGTTTGTTCCTTTTTTTTTCTAAAACAGGAGGCAAGCAGTTTCCCAGAACAGGAAACGGAACTCTGGACTCTCTGCTGATACATTTGTGTCCCTTGAAACAAAAGGACCTGTGCACCATTGAACAGATTTTGAACTTGTCACAATACCTTGCAAATAACAAAAAAGGTAGAAAACTAAAAAAAAAACAGAAAATTGAAAAGGAAAAAGGCAGGGTTAAAGCAGATGTGAAGGGCTGGATTACCTAACAGGCACAGTATCTTTGGGCTTACGAAAAATTCTGGGACTTACAAAAATTTTAAGGCTTATTACTATAAACGCTCCACTGTATATGTGTGCCATCTGAATACCCACTCACAACAGTAACGACCAATACACAAACAGGAAATGATTTTCAACTTCTGGTCTTTCCCTGAGTTTTTGATTTGGGGGAATGATTCAATCTAGGTGTAGTATAAAAACACATCTCCTAATGAAGCTTATTATCAAGTTGAAATGTAAATGTGCTAATGCCTAGGGTGGAATAGTTAGGGCCGATGGCACATTAGTTCTTATTAAAAGCTTAATGGGGGAGGGTGGCGAGAGGGCACCCCCCCCAAAAAAAAATCAATTCAGTGCTGGCACTGGGGCCTGTGTGACTTTTCTCACGAGGCAGCTTCACTCAGCACACCACAAAGCAATCAGAAATTGTGATCCAATGCTTGCATTTCTTTCTCACTACACGAAAATTCTTGATCCACCACAAACTATGAAGCGCATGTACCAGGCCGTGCCTTAGGTTGAGATGCATGACTATTTTGCTGTAAATTTGACAGGAAATGTGACCATGCAAGAATGTGGTGATAACATTCACTGGAATAGAGCACATTGTGCCACAGACAATCACAAAAACATATTTTGTTTCCTTTGCATTGCAAAATGGTTTCACATTACAAACTAAGGCTGTTGTAGGATTCAGTATGTATCTAGCAATAAAAAAACATCAATTTTCTCTAGTGGAGATATTTTGTTTTAACCTGTCTTTCAGGGATTACTACTGGCAAGTATATCTACAAGACTGTAGTTCACTAAAACTTAGTACCATACAAAGACGACGGGGAGTTATTCCTCAATAAAAAATTTCAGGCCAAACTATTCGTAAGTAGGCACACACCTTGGGCCTAATAAAATTAGTGAGCTACAAAAAAATTGAGGGCCTCTAAAAATACATTTATAACTCTCGAAATAGCACCGTCAAACAACACAAACAACAAACGTAAGAGACATGTTGATTAGTTGCAGTGTCTTCCTCTGAACTTCTACTTTTCAGAAAACTTCAAACTACATGTACAATGTAGGTCCCTTAAACTCTGTTCCTCTTGGCATTAAAGATTAAATGAAATCCAAAGCTCCAGCCCAAACTATAGGGTAGCTCAATGAAATTGGTAATGGTACCGGGATCAGAGTCGGGCCTAAAAGGAACTCATGCCTCAAGCCTGCAGAACACTTAATCCGGCCCAGCAGGTGTGACAAGAAACTTCTATTTTACTCAGCCCTAATCATATGAACATAATCAGCATACATCTTGGACAAATGTCAGTGACCAAAACGATACTCTGAAATGGTGTCAGATAAAAGTCAGTGCTGCCCTGGATATGTCATGTTTACTGTGCACTGTACCCAGCAAGTACACACTGACCTTCTGACACATGCCACCTCCCTACCAATAGCTATTCTGGGTGAGGTCATCTCCCGTTCAAGTGAAAACTCTGTGTGGTATACAGTACCAGGCAAAATGTCACATATACAATATCTACATTTAAAAAATATGCATCACGGAAGAATAGCAAATGTCTGGGGAAAAAAAAGCAATATTCAAGGCTTTACATGTAAAGTAGCTCTTGAAGGTTTGCATGGAGGAATACGATAAGGTAGAGGGTTTGTGGATACACCACATGGAAAATATCTCTTTGAGTATGTGTGGTTACTCCACGTTTCAGACAGTTAGTGCTCTGTCCGTCTTCAGAACAGACATGTATGTCATAAAGAACACAACAGCCACATGTACATTTGGAAGAAGAGCAATATGCCTATTCCAGGAAGATTCCCAGTGTTATTAATATGACAAATGCAAGCTGAGAGATTAACATTGTTTCTGTCATTCATCTAAATATGGGTCATTCAATGAGGTTAGGGCACAATTTGTGACGGTGTCCTTGGTACATGGGTAACTTTTACCACCTGTCATGACCTGTAGAGCAGGTCATTTACTCTGTAAAAATAACACACACCTCTGTAAGACGCCTTGCAAGATGTATAACAATGTCAATTGGGAATCCACATGCAGGGAAATAGCTGTTGATTTTTACGGAACCCATGTAACAATTGACACCGTCACAAATTGTGCCCCAACCTCATGGAATGACCCATGTACATATAATATGTTTCATAAGCATGCTTCAGCAACAACTCATTTCACAGACAATCACTCTACAGGTGCTGGTATACAGATTATTTTCCTTGATCAGCCGCAGGGGAACACACATGTACATGTATGTACATTTTGACCAGCAACAACTCAGGCACATGTTACGCAATGAATCCATGGTTTTGTTAAGAGAGTTTTTTGTTTTGCTAGGTAATATGGATCAGGCAGCTGCACACATAAAGCAAGCACAACATAAATGTTCCTATTACACCAAGGAAAACAAAAATAAATAAACCAATACAAATCCATTACTTCCTGGTATATTCTATTAAGCCAAGGTGTGAACATTATTAAATACATTTCGTGAAGGGATTGTTTCAGTCCAAATCACAGCAGGACTATTTTTCCTGAAAATACATTTTAAAAATACTGAAAATACATGTACATTTTGTTTCTGTTAAAATCCAACACTGGGCGGGTTCTATGATTAATAGTTGGAGCCATGGTACCCAAGTCTGTAGAACAGGCTTCAGGACTGTCTGGACTTGGGGTCTGTGGAATCTGGGAAACTACCCACAAGGCAACCTGCAGTATCAAGTTGATGACTGATGTGACTTAGTGTGGCATGTTTACCTACTGGTGGTGAGGGCTCAGCGACCCTTGACCACCAGATTGCAGGGATTAAGTTGTGACCTTGGCTCAGCTGGGGCAGATCACTTTTACCCCTCCTAGCCCCTCTCTACCCAGGCCTGTATAAGTGGGTACAGTTCTCAACCCAGGCCTGTATAAGTGGGTACAGTTCTCAACCCAGGCCTGTATAAGTGGGTACAGTTTTCAACCCAGGCCTGTATAAGTGGGTACAGTTCTCTACCCAGGCCTGTATAAGTGGGTACAGTTCTCAACCCAGGCCTGTATAAGTGGGTACAGTTCTCTACCCAGGCCTGTATAAGTGGGTACAGTTCTCTACCCAGGCCTGTATAAGTGGGTACAGTTGCAGTTAAAAGTTTACAAATGTAGCCAACACAAACACGTACATGTAGGCCTATACAAGCAGTTCACTGGTCTTGTCTGCTGAACAAGACGATGATTGTTCCAGTGAAATGCTTTGAGACCACTATGTAAGTTACTACAGAAGTATGAAATTTTTGGCATGGCATTCCCAGATGGGGTTAGAGCCCAAGTGGTCCTCCCTAGAAAAAGCACACTCTTTAAACAAGTTCATAAAGCGAGACTGTCTAAAGAACTTCAGTAACCCAAAAATTGATTTCGTTTTGGGCGTGTAGCAAGGAATTTACATCTTTGTACACTTGAAAAAAAAAAGGGCAAAACACGGTCGCATCTTTCCTTACACTCAGTTAAGATTCAGAAAACAAGATTCCCATCAAAATGAACACAATATGCACTGCACAAAACACAATAACAAATGCACCTTGTCTGTTCAATCCTTAATCTCAGTAGCGATCTCAGTACCAAAAAGCCATACATGTACATGGTCACTACATCACAGCAATATTTTCAAATAATCATAAGATATCACAGCCAAACGAGCCAACAATCACACAGCTACAAGCAACAACTATGCGTACGCAGTAAAAGCTCTGCCAACTTGTTGTACACAGGAGTAACTCCTAATATATTGACAAACACACATACATCAAGCATTATTTATCATATTGATCACATTATTTGCATATGTAAAAGCTGATAGATCGTACATGTACATGTACTTCATGCTTGTCTAAATATAGCATATCCCCCCCAAAAAAGGATAAATAACAGGTAACTTGTCTGGGTTACAGACATAATTTACTGCCGTCAACTGGATCAATGCCTGTGCTTGTTGGTAGCTGTATCAAACTCCCAAAGAAATGCGCACCTGTCATTTCCACCTACCCAAAAACACTTGGGTCTAAAAAGATTCCAAAGAGGGCTACATGTACCAGTATATAAAAAGGTTGATCAGTGACATGAATACCATTTTTTTGGTCAATTGCCTTCCCATAATGCACTACACAATTGGCTCCTCCTCTGGTCCCAGAAGTTTTAAAATATTCTCTTGATTGATTACCCTTCCCTTTTCGATTAAAGATACAATTAATCAAACAGAAGAGTTTCAGTCCATCAATTTCATTTAAAATTTTAGTCAACGACAACAAAGCAGCAAGCTGTCCGTACTAATGAAGTTTCACTAAGCGTCATCACCCAACTTACACCTTCCAACCACAATCTTTGAGCAAGTAGTCAGTCTCAAGGAATTTTCAGGCAGATCGTCTATTCAAGTCATAACTGAATCCAATATGATGGCGGTTTTTAAAGGCAATCTTCCTTTGTGTTCCTTCCGCTGTTTTTCTATACTTGAGAACGTTTGAGATTTTCAGACAAAGTGATGTTTGGCTATTCTTTTTCATCATCTGGAAGGAAATCTGTGTTTTCAAGTAATCTAACAGAAAAAAATGTACCCACATAAGATTAAACTAAATAATACCTCCAGGTCTGTTCTCACAAAGGCAAACAGAAGCGACAGCAGGAAATCGAGATCGGTATGGCAGAAAGCTCTCCAAGCTGGGCGTGTTGAGGTGTGTTCTCAGAGGTCTAGATATCATTGGGAGGAGGTTCCGCCTGGGTTTGTGGCTCTTGCTTCTTCTGCCGAGCCTGGAACCAGGTAGTCTCCTTGAAGACGAACCAACAATTGCCCAGCCACACCAGGAAGTTCAGAAAGCCAAAAAGCTGCCAAGGGACAAAAAGACATTTGGAGAGAATATTTTGTTAGCAGCTCCAATGGGAATCTGAGAGATACAAATTCAACCACTATTAAAACACAGACATACTTGTATGATTAGACAGGCTTTGGGGCCTATCGGTATAGACCTTTTTCCTGTGATGTCACAATCATGATGGACTGCAATGTGTTGTGGTGGTAATGAGTGCATAGTGTTGTGATGGTGATTTACTTATTCAAGATAAACTAGTCAAGCATGCAGCGTTCGCACGTGCGCTTGCACATGGTTGAAACTGCCTGTAGGAATGTATGCGATCACCGTGGACACAGCAGTCCACAAATAGTGGTATAGAGTACTGAAGTGTGACGTCACTGTGAACCAGAAAGTGCAGTGCAAACGAATGGAGTATGCGCGTGTTGGTTCACACGCCGGTTCTCGCGCTAATGCCTTTTACACACTAATTGTGCGCGTGACGCATTCACTGTGGTACTCTATTGTTCACATTTAGCGCAATCCAATGATGTGGGTAAAAAAGGTCTTTAGGGTTTGGAACAGCAAATCACTACATGTAGGTCGGGCTTCCAATCCTGCAATAGGGCATACATTGTGACCTTGGGCGAGTTGCTTTACTCTAACTTGCCTCTCTCCAGTCAGGAGAATAAATGGGCACCGGTGAAAAGCAGAAGTGAGTTTTCATGATTGATTTAATCTGGTAGAAAACTAGGCATACTGAGAGAAGGAGGATGGACAGTTGTTACTGGTTGCCAGATTGTGGGTTTTATTTTGAAGAATTACGGAGAAAGGAACTGGGAAGTGGGCCTAGCCTCTCTTTTACTGACGGATGAGGGAAAATTTATACAGCCCATAGCCCTCAAAAACAACACCTGTACATATGTAAATAAATTCAGTGACCATGGTAATGTACACTGTATTTACAGACATGTAGTTCATGTCAGTTGCTGCATTGCACAGCCTCGTGTGGAAGGAAATATCACTCCCCAGGCACACCCTGGAGTACTGAGACAGATGGGAATGTGGCACGGAAATAGCACATGAATACTGTTCAAATGGCTCTCCTGAATCAGTGTTTGTGAGGTCTGGCTAAGTATCAAACACTAGCCGCATTGTCATTCCTTGTATCAGCCAAATATAATGCCATCAGCAAGTGCCTGAAAAGCAAACTGAATATGTGACCCTGTGACCTATGCAAACAATGATGTGGCACACGATCTACTGAACTGCATGTATTAAGAATGATAACTGCATCCCAATTTCTAAATATCATGGTTCAATAGATTTATACATGTTGCCCAATTGATAAAAACCCTTCAGAATGGCAGTCCTTAAGTGGCCTACGCAAGCCCAGTTTGGCCACCTTTCTGAAGAAAAAATTTATTTAAACATGACCAGTGTCAGTTTCTGCTTGCAGGAGGGGGTTACTTACGATCGAGGCATTAAGGGAGGCATAGCTTGCAGGAGTGACCCCAATGCACTTAGTTCCTGGAGTGTTGCAAACATTCTTGTAGAAGTTGGTCTTGATGTTCTCAAAGGTTGTCCAGTATTTGACTGTGGAGACACCGGAGGCCCAAGCACAAGACGCCAGGAAGAAGAACAGTGCGAACGTCGCAGTGAGGACCAGATCCTAGAACAAAAACCAAATGAATTAGGCATGCGACTTGGACTTTGAGCCCCCCAAAAAACGAGGAAATGCCAATTGTCCCAGGACTTTATAAGGAGGTTTTCAATTTTCAAGAGCATGAGTGTGAAGTAAAAAGTGAGGAAATCAGCAGATCCGAGGAAAAGTTACCTGATACAACAATGACAACCACGCTATGCTTTGCACACAAACACAACTGGTCAAACCTGTACATGTGAGCTTGCGCCTTCGCCGCTCACATCTTTTCATACCTTTCTGAAAACGGGGTACTCTTCCACTGGAAATGAACATGTACATCTTCAGGTCTAGTAGTGTTGTGGACATTTCAAGTTACGGAGGTATTTTTGTACTTAACAACATATTCTTTTGACGAGAAAAAGATGGCCTACGAAATAAAATGGTCTTTTGACTAAATTGACTTTGAGTTATAAAGATTTTATAGTTCATCCTTGTCTGCATAACCTTTGCTGCCCACTTGGAAAAAAGGGCAAGAGCTGCTGTAGGGCCCATGCAGGAAAATTATCCAGCCTGCAAAATTTATCAATTTTCAAGGACTTCATATTCACTTTAATGGTGGCACTCGGTTGCACTCTGCTTAGATTTATTAGGATCGCACATGTAGTGGAACCAGTGACATACTGTACATGCCGCACTGGTGCTTCAGCATGCAGCACGATGCCCTTCCAGGTTGGATCGTTAGCGCTGCACTGTGGCTTATACACCAGTGCAACTTACACACTGGTATATACGCTCATAAATTTAAAACTTAAGTTGCCAATTTTCGCGTGCTGCAGCTTATGCATCGGGTGGCTTCTTTTCCGAAAATAACGGTGGTTGAGTACATGTCCATCAATACATGAACGCAGCAATTTTACACCAGTCCCTGTTGTATTACACTTTGAAACTCTTTTTAATTTGGGTGTACCAAAGTGTTGGCCTGAGGGAGCAGTTGCATGGCAGATCAAAAACCAAATCGGGGGGGGGCCGTGGCAGGAGTAAAAAATAAGGAAAATGTGTTAATATAGCCTTCTATGGTCTTACTGGGGGGAAGGGCTAAAGGTAAGGGATTAATGAACACTTTCTGAAAAAAGTCTCATTGTGTCAAATAATTTATGTTGTTCCCCCGCACCTACCGATGGTTGAATTTGTGCAGGGAAGTGAAACCGAGTCCAATTCCTTGCCCGAGTTTACCACTCCCATGAACTGTGAAAGATTTCGGTGGGAACCATCGGCAGAGGGCTACAGTGACTGCAAAGAGTTTTGAAGTGTGCATGCCTGTGGGCAAAAGTATTTAGCTGAGGTTCCGAGGGGTTGGAGGTGAAACTAGAAGGTACGGTATAACAAAGAACCAAGTGGGTTCCCTTTATGCGATGAAATGAGGCTCTTCTCAGCTCAGTGACTACATGTAACGCATTCGCCAAATATCACTGCAACAGAAAGTCTGCATCACTTTGGGGTCAGAGTATCAATTTATGAAATGTGATTATGATGTTAGAAGCTGGCAACAACTCAGTAAATTCTCTCTCTCAGTCCACAAAGAACCCATAAAAAAAGTTTTGCACTCACAGCGGCAGGGATGAGGTCGAACCTGATGAACTTGACCTCAAAGATGACGTACCAGATGAGAGTGGCAATGCAGTACAGCATCGCCAAGACTCCGATGGCAACAAAGAAGGACGCTTTCCCTCCGGGGTAGGCGTTCACCTTCATGCCGCCCGTTGCATTGGATGGTACACAGACTTCGTCATAGTCTTTGAAACTGCAATTGGGGGGGGGAAGAGATTTCTCTCAGCAACAACAGACACAAGGTCGACATGGAAAGCGTTCGGAACATTTTCATCAACGTGGTTTGCGCTTCTGTTGAAAACTGCCCATCCAGCATGTATAGCATCAAGCTTAACATGCATACGCACTTCCAAAGGATGGTACACGTATTAAACGTAATGCCCAGTTTTCATTTTACAACAGAGAGGTAGGGGAAATCCCCCCCTCCCAATCTCCGCTGCCTCGTACATTTTTTTTTTAAATGACACGATGTACCAGTAAATACATGTACCTTTATTAAGAGTAAACCTGTATAATTTCAATCCCATCCAACAGGGTTTTTGTTAAAATCATGTGTAATTTATGGCCCCACACTTGTTGGCCTACTAAACATGCTAAAAATTGGTTTTTTTACCTGTCTCAGAAAAATATGCCTTTTGTGAGACCAGCACATGTATGTCTCACTTTCACAGAATCGTCAAAATGACTGAAGGATAAATAAGGTCACTTCCAAGCCAATTCAACCACCCCCCCACGTGGCCTGACTCAAACTGATGCAGTTCCAAACAAGGTTAAAAAGTGTGGCTGGAACAAGGGGGTACTATTATTTGAGTTTTAATTTTGGTCCTGGCTCTATGTTTAGGCCCATAGGTCAAACCCCTAAATATTTAGGAAAACACTGGACTCTTTGGTCAGCTCTATTAAAGAAAGAAGATACTGGGAATGTTATCTGGCATAAAGAAAACCATCTGCCGGAGAGAGAAGCAAAATGGACACTTACTTGAACGGATACCCAAACTCATACTTTTTTTCAAATTCGTAATTGAGGCAAGTGATATTGTACACCACCGAACTGCTATATCCAGCTGTAGTGGCGAACATGAGCACGGCTAAGAACTGTAGAACAGAAAGACACAAGGAGAGTGCACAGTTAACACACGTACACATACATTAACCCTAACCCCCCAGGATGTATGTAAAACCGTATTGAAACCGGAGGATTTGGGACTGTTAGGGTTAAGGAGAGTCCAAAAGGAAGGAAACCAAGATTTTCACTTTTAGGTGACTACATGTATTTCAGTCCTTCCAAAAGCGTGCAGAATAACCCCAAAATTGAGCCTTGCTCATCAGCAAGACATATCGGTACAAAGTTCACAAGTTTTGCCCTCCCTATATTCTCCCTTCTCCCACATGGCTCCCTTCCCGCCCCCTCCTCCCGATAACCTGGTTCTGGATCCACCCCTGACTAGCCTTTCCACTGCGTAGCTACATATGTACTGCAGTGCCTCTACGGCTCATATTAATCTCTACATTCAACTGCACATTCAGGCTATGTACAACTTTTGCCCTTGGCTGCATTCAGCAGAGAGAAAACAGAGAAAAACACTCACGAACTCAATGATTCTCAAGAATCCCCTGGGTTCCAGCAACACCCTGAACCGGAAGAGTGACTCCTGTGTGTGAAAGAGAACCACAGAGAAAAGCATTTGTGAATAGTTGGGTGCCAAAAGGGGTAAAAACACACAATGCTTCACACAGGTCTCCTTCCAGTGTATGTCCTAAATCTAGTGCCTGGAACGTGTACGATTCCAACCAGTGTTCTCCAACCCACAGATGAAGCAAGGCGGCCCACCACATTTTGTTCGCCTTCCATCATGCTTAGAAAGTAGCCACCAAGCTTTAAAGCCATCTAGTTGAAAATCTTTGGTGCTACATTTACATTCTGGAATATTTGAACTTACACCCAAACAGCTACATGTATAATTGCTCTGAATTTCAATGATGGCAAAGATGTCAAGAAATGCACTAATTAGATTTCTACCACCTCTTTAAGTGAGCCATAACCTACATAAAATTCCACTCTTCCCCCTCCCCGTTGCAGCATTTTCATCAGTCCCCAGGAAGATTAAAACTTACATGTACATGTACAACTTAGAGAACACTGAGTACCCTAGAGGTTGAGCCTGGAGGCTACACATTCATGTAAGTTTCTCAACAGTGCAATTCCCCAGAAAACATGTCGGGCCTTACACTGACATGCCCACATTGTTCAGCCATTCAGGCCAGTTCATACTGTCCATGCCAGGGGCAAAAGCAAACATGACCACACTTTTGTGAAGTCAGATCAAATATTCCTGATCAAATATTCCCATGAATTTGCAAAAGGTGAACATGTACTCATGTACTATGTATCAACTTATGCAAAATTTGCTCCGAATGACATCAAATTTAATGCTCTTTCTCATTTGTCTCATGTAAAAAAAAAAGCTTTGATGCATCATTCATACAAGCTCGGCCAACGGCTATTTCTTAACCACTCAATGATTTTTCCCGGTGTCATATATGTACATGTATATGAAAAAAGTACACACACAAGTTCCAGGAAAAATTCACTGACGTCGAAATCACAGCCACATGTGAAATAGTCTTCGAGCTCCCCCCCAAACTCCCCTGTGCTGTGTGTGCAATGAGGTTTGGTACCGAGACACAAGTGTATTTTACAGTTTATTTATGTACGCATTTTCCCTTATGTGGAAAGGTGCCCTGCTAAATGCACAGCATGCTTAATACACA